TAATCATCCCAACTGAAAGCCAAGAGGTATACAATTAGAATATAATTACTCTTATTCTTATTATTATTTTGGCAAAGCTTCCCAGGTAGCCTCAAGCATCTCAAATGAGCCTAAGTAGTTTGAAAACTCTTCTATAAAGAGAGAGAATAAATCCTTGATGTATTCCAGGGTCTATTGTAACAACTCAAAGTCATTTCTAGGTTAAAAGTCTCTTAAAACTTAAGCTTTGGGAAGGTTCATCAAGCAAAGGGAGTGAAAAGACCATAACATAAACCTTTTCATTAATCTGGGAGAAAAAAAGTTTTATGGTGACAACTTTCAAAAACATCAATCCAACTTAAACCAGTTTTAATATTAAATATTTTGTCCAGACCACAGGATCCTCCTTCAGTTATATAAATATTTAATTTCTGTAAGCCAATAAAATATTACACCCAAGTAATGCCATCTGGAGGCAGAAGAAAACACACTACATATAATATACACATGAACACATATCAATCACATCAAACCCATATATATCAACACCATACACGTGATCTGAATTGCTCATTTTTTGTAAAGAAGACAAGGGCAACTTTGTCCATTTACCACTATAAACTTAAAACTTTCACATACTTTTACAACCATTTACAAATTTTTCACAACTTTCATATTTTCCCAAACCCTCTTTTCCATTCATAAATAACCATCTTCAAACTCTCTTCCTTCCTTTTCCCTCAAAAGTATTTCTATCTCATGCCTTCTATTACCAAAACCATGAAACTTCCTTTTTTAATATATTTTATTGATTATGCTCTCAGAGTTGTCCCATTTCCCCCCTTCACTCCCCTCCACCCTGTACACCCTCTCCCACTCACTTCCCCCCACTTTAGTTCATGTCCATGTGTCATACTTATAAGTTCTTTAGATTCTACATTTCTCATACTATTCTTACCCTCCCCCTGTCTATTTCCTACCTACAATCTATGCTATTTATTCTCTTTACCTTTTCTCCCTCTCTCCTCCCACTCCCCTGTTGCTAACCCTCCATGTGATCTCCATTTCTGTGGTTCTGTCCTGTTCTAGTTGTCTGCTTAGTTTCTTTTGGTTTTGCTTTAGGTGTGGTTGTTAATAATTGTGAGTTTGCTGTCCTTTTACTATACATGTTTTTCCTTTATCCTCTTTTCTTAGATAAGTCCCTTTAACATTTCATAAAATAAGGTCTTGGTGATGATAAATTCCTTTAACTTGATCTTATCTGAGAAGCACTTTATCTGCCCTTCCATTCTAAATGAAAGCTTTGCTGGATAGAGTAATCTGGGATATAGGTCCTTGTCTTTCATGACTTGGAATATTTCTTTCCGGCCCCTTCTTGCCTGTAAGGTCTCTTTTGAGAAATCAGCTGACAGTCTGATGGGAACTCCTTTGTAGGTTACTGTCTGCTTATCTCTTGCTGCTTCTAGGATTCTCTCCTTCGTTTTTACCTTGGCTAATGTAATTATGATGTGCCTTGGTGTGTTTCTTCTTGGGTCCAACTTTTTTGGGACTCTCTGAGATTCCTAGATTTCCTGGAAGTCTATTTTCTTTGCCAGAATGGGGAAGTTCTCCTTTATTATTTGTTCAGATACATGCTCAATCTGTTGCTTTTCCTCTTCCCCTTCTGGTACCCCTATAATTTGGATGTTGGAACGTTTAAAGATGTACTGGAGGTTCCTAACCTTCTCTTCATTTTTTTGAATTCTTATTTCTCCATTCTTTCCTGTTTGGTTGTTTTTTTTTCCTTCTGGTCCACTCTATTGTTTTGAGTCCCAGTTTCCTTCCCATCCCTGTTGGTTCCCTGTGCATTTTCCTTCATTTCTTTTATGGTAACCTGCATTTGTTCATCTAATTTGCAACCAAAATTAACCAATTCTGAGAGCTTCCTGATCACCAGTGTTTTGAACTGTGCATCTGATAGGTTAGCTATCTATTGGTTGCTCAAAACTATGAGTTCTGGGGCACTGATTTGTGCTTCTGTTTGAACCATCTCTCTCTCTCTCTCTCTCTCTCTCTCTCTCTCTCTCTCTCTCTCTCTCTTTCTCTCTCTCTTTTTTATTTTTTGCTTTGGTTGCTCCTGTTATGGTGAGGGGCAGAGCCTTAGGTATTCACCAGGGCTGGGCACCCCAGTTGCTAGATTGTGACGTTGGATGTGTGGGCGGGGTCAAGAGGGAACAATGGCGGTAACTCCGTTCTCTGTGGGACCTCTGTCTCTTCCCATGGGATCCTGGGTTTCGCGCTCTGCCCTGCTCCACAATCGCCGCTTCACTGGGTCTGCCAGCTGCCGCTTGTGTACTCAGGGTCCACCTACTGCGATCTTGTGCACCCCAGATGCCTTACGCACTCCCTGTTGCCTTACGTGCCCCATTCTCCCTGTTCTCCGAGCCACAAGCCGCACCTGGATGCTCGTCTCCGCCTCTCCTACCGGTCTGGATAAACGCCTCTATTTCAACTTCTTAGCTGTCCTACTTCCATTCAGATAAATTTTCTATCAGTTCTGGGTGTTATTCTGCCTCTAAATTGTTGTTGTCCAATCTTGATTGTGCGTGGAGGTACACTGCATCCACCTATGCTTCCATCTTGCCAGAAGTCCAAAACCATGCAACTTCTTTCCAACTCAATATAAAATTTTCACTTTTAGAAACCTCAATTTCCAATCATAACCAAAAATAAGAAGCCAGTATTTCCTAGATAGGCTTTTATGAACATATTTCATAACCTGTAGAACATAGTTTCCTCTATTGACAAATATATTCACTTTCAAGAAACACATCTCTAACAACAAAAAAAATTATTAACAAGACACTCATTAACAGCTCCAAATCTGTAAAGGGGTTCAGAACAAAGATGCCTGGGAATACAGGGGAAAAAAACCTACACGGACATGGTTTGGGGATGGGGGAGGCAGAGGAAGAGAATTGAGATGTACTTTGCCTATCTATGGCAACTTGTACTCACTCCTGGGGCAAAGGAGATGGGCATGAGTTTCTCAATGTATCCTGGGAGCACACAGCACCTGAGGGGAGCAGGGATGCTATTCCCCTGTTACAGTATCTGCAGGAGAGGCAGGGAGGTGGTTTGCCCTGAGTCACCAGGCCATGCCTGCCCAGACTGATAATGGCAGTGGAGAGAATGTGAACTGTACAGATATGGCCAAGTTTTTTTTTTAACCCTTTTGATAAGATTTACCTTCCAAAAATTTGTATACTAAGAGATGGTCCAGATAAGAGTTCTTGGATACCAGGTTTTGCTCTTTTTAAAATTTTTATTTATTTTCTTTTTAAGTATCTCATATTGATTATGCTATTACAGTTCTCCCATTTTCACCCCTTTATTCCCCTCTGCCCTGCACCCACCTCCTACCAGCATCCCACCCACCTTACTTTATGTCCATATACATCGGGCATACAAGTTTTTTGGCTTCTACATTTTCTATACTATTCTTAACCTCCCCCTGTCTCTTTCTACCTATAATTTATGCTTCTTATTCCCTGTGCCATTTCCCCCATTCTGACCCCTTCACCTCCCCATTGATAACCCTTCATGTTATCTCTTTTTCTGTGGTTCTATTCCTGTTCTAGTTGTTGCTTACTTTGTTTTAGTTTTGGAGTTTTTTTTAGGTTCAATTGTTGATAGTTGTGAGTTTGTTGTCATTTCACTGTTTATATTTTTTATCTTCTTTTTCTTAGACAAGTCCCTTTAACATTTCATATAATAAGGGTTTAGTGATGATGAACTCCTTTAACTTGACCTTATCTGGGAAGGACTTTACCTGCCCTTCTATTCTAAATGATAGCTTTGCTGGGTAGAGTAATCTTGGATGTAGATCCTTGCCTTTCATGACTTGGAATACTTCTATCCAGCCCCTTGTTGCCTATGAGCTTTCTTTTGAGAAATCAGCTGATAGTCTAATGGGAACTCATTTGTACATAACTCTCTCCTTTTTTCTTGCTGCTTTTAAGATTCTCTCTTCATTTTTAATCTTGAGCAATGTAGCTATTATGTGTGCTTTCTTGGGTCCAACTTCTTCGGGACTCTCTGAGCTTCCTGGACTTCCTGGAGTTCTATTTCCCTCCCCAGATTTGAAAAATCCTCCTTCATTCTTTTTTTCAAATAAGATTTCAATTTCTTGGTCTTTTTCTCTTCTCCCTCTGATTTTCTATGATTCAGATGTTGGAATGTTTAAACTTTACCCAGAGGTTCCTAAACCTCTCCTTGTTTTGTTTTGTTGGGTTTTTTTTTTAAGTTCTTATTTATTCACTCTTTTCTGGTTGAATGTTTATTTCTTCCCTCTACTCCAAACCATTTGTTTCAGCACTGGTTTCCTTCCCTTCACTGTTCGTTCCCTGTATGTTTTCCTTTATTTCACTTGTCATAGCTTTCACTTTTTCCTCTATTTTGTGCCTTATTCAACCAATTCTGTGAGCATCCTGATTAGCTATATTTTGAATTGTGCATCTGATAAGTTGTCTATCTCGTCATCGCTTAGCTATACTTTTTCTGGAACTTTGATCTGTTCTTTCATTTGAGCTATATTTTTGTCTATGTGTGCCTATTACACAGTAAGGAGAGGAGGCTTAGATATTACCTAGGGTGGAGCAGCCCATGTTGCTGCCTTGTGGCACTATGTGTGGGGGGAGGATTCAGAGAGGGAACAATGACACTTACTCAGCTCTTCCCAGCTTTTAGCCACCTACACCTCTACTCAAAAGCAAATTGGGCCCTTCTGGTGCTGATTCTCAGGTGAATGGGTTTGTGTATGTTCTAGGACCCTGTCAGTCTCTCCAACAACCTCTTCTGTGAGGCTGGAAGTTTATCCCTGCTGCCTCAACCCCACAAGTTTTTTTCAGTCAAAGGTTTTGAGACTTTATTTCATCGTACTGGAATCCTGGGTTGCATGGTCTTTCTCGCTCCCTAGTTATTCCTCCTGGTTCATCCACATGCAAATGTGGGACTGTGCATTCTGCCCTCTGCCACCTCACTTGCTCCTCCAGACACCAACCACCTAGTCGTTCAGCAGCAGCCTTGCTACGAGACCTCACCATCTCGGCTGCCCATCTTCATCCCCTCCTGCTGCTCTGCATGAATGTTTCTCCTTTAACTCCTTGGTTTGCAGACTTCCATAAGGTTCAATTTTCTGGCAGTTCTGGTTGGGTTTTGTTTTTAACTTTGTTGTTGTCCTTCTTTTGGTTGTGCGAGGAGTCACAGTGTAATTACCTAAGCCTCCATCTTGGTCAGAAGTCCAGGTTTTGCATTTCAAAGACAGACTTTGGTTTCAGAGTTGTAGAAGGGGAAAGAATAGGGTGGTGGCATTTGTTATCTTCAGAAGACTTTTTTAGTTCAGTGATGTCTGTAAAACTTCTTATTAACTTTTAAAAACATATCTTTTGTTTTCAGAAGCATACACTTCCCACTCATCTAGTTTCATTTTAGAGCTGGCATTTTCCAAGATTGCATACAAAAAATTAATTTAGGAACCGAAAAGAAAATGGCATTTTGGCCATTTTAAGTTGATACTATTTCTAGTTAAATCATCCTGTTTCTGTAAAGTACTTGCAAGTCAAGATTTCCTTAGTACTGGTGGGTACTTCCATTAGTTCCAGGGGTATTAATGAGCGCTGGAGTCTGGGAGTTTCCAAATTTGGAGGCACAATTTCCAATGCCAATATTAGTTTTATTGTGGGACCTGTAGAGTCTGAACTTCAGAATCTCAGAAAGCATTTCCAAACAAAACCCCGAAGTTTAAAACCTGCCCCTCATTTTTTCCCTCCAGTCCTGCTTTAGCTTGGGTTCTCTCAACCCTTAAACTTCATTCCACCTCGAGGATTTAAAAAGACAGCTCAAATAAAGCCAGAGCATCAGACCTTAAAATAGGGAGGCCTGGAATTCCAAAGGAAATGCACCTGAGTAATCCCTTGGCACAATATGAAGCCTGTGAAGCACAATGGGCCCCTGCTGGCACCTAGCAGCAAGTCCAGGTGTGCAAAGTGGTCCTTGGTAGGCTTCTTTGTAATCCTGCTGCACTACACCAAGTTAATGTCAACATAAGAGACTTTCAAACCTATAGAGAATTTTTGGTGGGTTTATTTGAGGCAAGCAGAGAACAATTTCCGGAAAGAAATATCTCAACAGATTGAGAAATGTTTTTGAGAACCGCAGTTTAGCACCTTATTTTATACATTACAATCACAGAAGGAGACCTAAGTGGGGTTACATGAAATCCATTGGTGATAGATTAGGGAGGCTGGAGAAAGCAAAGCTGGTGGCAGGGGGCATGGTTGGGGGCGGGTTGTGGGGTGGCAGCCCAAGTGGGGGCTCTGGGATTGGATAAAGGGTAATATGATAAACACACACTTTATTCAAATAGGTTGGTAAAGAACAGTTAACAGTCAACAATTAACATGATAACAATAGCAGTGGAGGGATTTCTGATTGTGCCCAAGGGATTCAGAAAAAGGGAAGTTACTTTGACATTCCCAAGCCATGTTATCATAGATCCTAAAAGACAATAGACAAGTTCAGTTAAGGTAAAGATTGACCTTTGTTCGGGAAAAATACTGGTCTAGCACGTGACTACCTGCCTAGCCCAAGACTACATGCCATGAACTGCTTTAGTTAAAAAATTTTAAATTCAGACCATCCTTTGTAGTTACTTTCAGTCTCTGAGTATGTAATACTGCCATGCAGGCCTCCCCTGAGCTTGTCAGTTTCCTATGTGGCCCCTTCTCTTCCACATATTATTTCTGGTTGTTACTGTGCAGGTGTTGTTTCCACATGAGATTACGATTTAGATCTGTGGTCTCAGTAAGATAGAGTGAGGGCCTGAGCAGAACAAAGAGGCAAAAATAGAAAGAAGCTGTTCCTTTTGCTTCCTGCCTGCCTGCTTGAGCTGGGGCGAACATTTCTCCTGCCCTTCAACTATGACATGCTCCCTTGACTACTCTGGTTCTCAAGCTTCTAAATTTGGATGAAGTTACCCTACCAGCTGTCCTAGGTCTCCAGCTTGTAGACAGCAGTGCCTGGGACTATTCAAATGCCATAATCACACAAGCCAATTCCTGATAAACAATCTCCTTTATATGTATAAAGGAAATATAGAATATTTGTCATGCAGGAGGTCAAGCCCAAGGATCTCAACTGCTCATTCCAATAAGGTGAAAAAACCACAAGGGTGACTGAATGCAGCAGACATAGCCTTTATGACTCACATTACAGGAAGCACCAGTGTGGGAAGATCAGCAAAGCAGAACTGCCCCTCCCTGAGTCTGAGACTTGTTTCAAGGGGATCCCAGACAAAGGGGGCACGTGTCTTGCTCATGACTCTAAACTACAAAACCTCAATGTGTGCCTGCAAAGAGAAAAGATCAGGAAGCACTCACACAGGATCAGAAACCTCTCCCAAAAGGAGACAAGGAGGGAATTACAATCCATTTCCAAAGTAGTACACATTCCTTCTGGCCCAGGGCCCCTCACCAGCCTTCCATTAAAAGTGTTTAGAGGACCCGTGTCCAGCACAACCCCACAATATTGTTTCTACTTCTCTGGAGAACCCTGACTAATAGAATATGAAAGAATTCTAAAATTGTGTATTAAATGACACAAATGAACTGTGATAATAATGACTCAGGTGAGCAGTGCAATTTCAAAACATGTGTTGGGACAGTTAAGGGTACAAGGAGAATGCTAGAGAGGTGATAATGCACAAAGTCATTCTTAATTCAGTAAGAAAATATCAGATGAGAAGAACCCAGAGTTTAAAAAAAAAACCTTTGACTGTATCTACCATCTGAGTTAGTCTTGGTTGTAGCTATTTCTATTAGAGAAGAAGAGGTTGTTAAATATATACATACATACATACATACACACATACATACATACATACATAAAGAGAGTCAACCCTAGATAACTTTCTTTTCTAAGGATCTTAGAATGTGTCTTAGGATCTTGTTGCCATGCCACTACTTCTGGTTCCTTTTTGATACAGAGAGATCTGAACAGATCAATAGGGAGGTGTAGGAAAGGGTAAAAAGAGGAAGCTGCCCAAGGTAATGGTAAACAGGATACCACAAAATTGGCTGAAAAGGTGAAAGCCTCCAGTGTGCAAGGAATCATAATTCCAGAAGATTTAAAATAAAAGGAGGGCAGAGACTGGCTGTCTGGCTACCTTCCTTGAGTATGCCTAGATGATCCTGCTGCAGTTGCCTTCATTTCCCAAAGAATGATAGAAAGAACTCTGGGTCCAGCCTAGGATCAGGTTGGCCTTGTAGAGGGGGGAGGGTTTATTCTTTGGGTTGTTCTAGAGGGAACAAGCTTGGAGCCTGCCATTCTTCCAAAATGGTGTAGCTTTTGTTATCTTATGTTGTTTTAGTTTATAAACTAATCCTATAGAAATAAGGTAATTAAAAACTAGTACTAATGGGGGAATGATTTGGGAACTAAGGAGTTTAAAGAACTTAGCATTAATTGGTAGGCTTAAGTGACTAATGCATGTGGAAAGCTGTTATTCCAAAACTGTGTTGTTTTTGAATAAAGACTCCTTTATCAACAAACTTTGCCTCCACCCCTGGCTGGTGTGGATCATTGGTAGAGTGCCAGCCTGTGAATCAAAGGGTCACCAGTTTAATTCCCTGTCTCACTGCACATGCCTGGGTTGCATGCCAGGTCCCCAGTGGGGGACACATGAGAGGCAAACACATTGATGTTTCTCTCCCTTTCATTGTCCCTTCCTTCCCCTGTCAAAAAAAATAATAAGTAAAATCTTTAACAAAAAAAAATTTTGTGTCCAAAATTTTGCTTCGAGTGTGGTGGTGGGCAGTAGGACCCCACTTGCTGTTCAATAGCATTTTAAGATTGTTAACAACTATCGGGCATCACATTTTGTTCTATGAAATGTTATAAAGAAGCCCCTTCTGGAAATCCTTCCAATGTGCCCTCCTGTTGCTGATCTCTCAGATGAGCTCAGTTTCTGGGTGGCAGATGTCCACGGAGAAAATGAGCAAGGCTAGTGATGTTTCAGGAACTGCAGTGGATCCCTGAGAGTGAACACGGAAATCTTGAAAGACTAGTAACTACAAAAGAAGCTACAGAGCACGAAAGCTATCATACCATTAAGGTTCACAACCCCAGAAAAGACAGTGTGCTAGCAAATTATGTGAACAGCCATGCCGAAATTCTACATCATAGTAATTACAGGTGTTCAATTATGAAGCTGTGATAAACTCTGTGACTTTCTCTATTTTCTTTCACAAAGTATCTCTTTCATCCCTGAGCAGGGCCAGGTATAGCTCCCTTGTCCTGCTTGTGCCTATGCAGAACTGGTCCAGAAGCCTGGGCTGTGGCCCATGAAGACTCCATAGTCTCCTTCTCTAGGGCTTCTTGGCTAGGATTTCTCAGGAAGTTTCCCCTAGGCAAAGATCAATTTTAAGGGTCAGAACTCATTTAGTATAGCCTGGATAGAAAATGGACATGCATAAGTGGATAGCAGTAGGGAGACTACAAGAGGAGCTTAGAGTTATATTCTCACTAGTAATCTTCACACCAACCCCAACTGGCACCCTGGGTTGTAAGTTTCATGAAATCAGGTTGGGACTTTTTCCATGTTGTTGCTTATTTCCTTATATGTATTTGAGCTGTTGCATATAAAGGGTGATAAATAGGTATACAGATAGATCACTGTATATGTAGTTTTAACAGAATTGAGCATCTGAGTGATTGATTATGCTTCCATTATACTGTTCTAGCTGCAAACATGATTGCTGTGTCTCATAATGAAATTCAGGTATTCTTCTTGGATTATTAACATTTCTATGATTCTCCTTGTATAAATTCTAACCCAAAATTGTTCATATCTTCTGTCCCTTTTCTTAAGGTTTCTCTCAGAATTGTGTTTTATATGACTCCTACCACATTAACCTTTACTACTACACTGCAACCACCTTAACTTTTGCTTTGCTCCAAGGTCTTCTCAAATGGGAAAATATTAAAACTCCAGAGGACAAAGGGGAAGACATTTCATCAGGTTCCTCACTGAGCAGATGTCATGACA